TTTATTGAGTTTATACAAATAACTTAATTGATTATAAAAATATATTTCATAATATATACAGATATCAGTATGTTTTCGGTATAAGTTTGTAAATTATACCAACGACTTTTTCGTTCATAATGTTCAACCATTTTATAAAAACTTCTACAACCTACACATTACCTAGTAATTGCACAAAATTTTAAAAATTATATTTATATTGTTAATTAAAATATTATCATTTAAATCCATTAAGAACCATATATATATATATATATATATAATTTACAAGCATATAACTAAAATAAGTAAACTTTATAATCATTCATAGTATTTATTTACTTTTATCAATTCATAAAGCTCTAATTATTTTTATGCTTGAAAAAGTTCAAACTTTGTTAGAATCAAATCTTACTTACCAAATAAAGCAAAAAAACAAATAGAAAAGCCACATCCACATAAAAGATCATGCAAGTAAATATATTGTGAAAGATAATTAAACATTTAAAGTTTGTACATTCAAAAATCATATTATAAAAAGTAAGAGAAAATATGTCTACTTAGCTATTGATTTGTACTTTCATCTTCCTAATTATAAGCTCTATATATAGATCAATAAATTAATAAAATAATTAAAAAAAAACCCATATAAATAAGAAACACTAGGTTTGGTACATTGGTAGAATAACATGATAGGCGGGATAAATATATTATTCATGAACTATATTTCTACTTTATCGTATTTTTATAACGATTAGGTACAAAAATAAGTAGTATAATATTAAAAATTCTATTACTGATAATAGTGATACTAACGAATTTAACGAGAATGATAACCGTAACAATCTAGCAAACAAGTAGTAATAACTATAATAGTAACGACAGCTATATAACAATGAGAATTGTAGTGTTTTGTTTTAAAAAAAATATTTGTATACGAAAAAATAGGAAGAGTATTGATATTTTATAATACTACTTGGTAATGATTGTAACATTTATTTATATAACACAATAAAAGTGGTTTTGTCAAATATTGGGTTCATTAAACGGTGTCGTTTTTATATGGGTTGACCCATGTGGGCTTCTTTTTAATAAGTGAATGATTTGGACTTGGGCTGTTAAGGAGATTGGATTAGGGTTTTAAATAAAGTATTTAATTATATATTATAATCAAAATTAATATTAAATTTTTAGCATGAATTATAATTCAATAATTAAATTAACTATTTGATTAAAAAATGAAGAAGAAGAAGAAGAAGAAAAATAAATTTGGATATAAAAAAAATGAGAATAAAAAATGTTAATTTAATTAATACTTTCCTTTTGTGGAACTATAGTAGTAAATATGATGAAATGTATATTACCCAAAAGAGAAAATAGGAAAGAAAATTTATATTTGGAAAAAATTATATAATGTGCTAATATATACATATATATGGTAAATAATATCTGTAAAATTGGAATAAAATAAAGAAAAAAAAAGGGTCATATTTAAATCAAACAAATATGGAAAAATAAGACTTAAAATCTTAATTTGTTATAAAATTTATTTTATTTTATTTTATTATACCAGTTATATATATATTATAAAACAGTATAAATCAGTGTAACTATGGACTTGAAAACAGAGGGATTAGGTGGGTTTCAAATTTAATAGCCAACTGAAATTAAATAATAAATCACCATATTTATTTCAAAAAAAAAATAACAGAGAGTCACCTGCGTGTGTATATATATATATATATGTATGTGTGTGTGTGTGTGTGTGTGTGTGTATGTAATGATGATATGACAGCCGCGTTTTTCAAACAAAGGCGGTGAGCTGACCAAAAAAGCCTGTTCTTTTCTTTTTTGTTTTCTTCTTCCTCTTTTCCTCTCTCTGAAAATCAAATTTCTATCCAAACAAGTTCATGTCTTTTTCCTGCTTTCTTCCTTTTCTTCCGTTCTACCCTGCTTCACGTTTGAATCTTCTTTTTTTCATTTAGTATCTTTCTCTTTCCGTTTTCTTCAACAACCGACACCATATCTCCCGATTTTCATCCCAGAAAAACTCCGCCTGCGAAGCGAGGAATATCCACCTGAAGAAACGACATCGCTTTTTAACCCAACCATCGTCTTCTCTGCCCGCGAATTACGCATCCGACACCGCTCTGGGGTACGGTCTCTTATCTGTCTTGTTTCTTGTTCTTGGTTTTGTTGGGGGCTGCGAAAGATTTTAGTTTGTTTTTCAATTCTGGGTTAGCCCTCGATTTTTGGGAAGCTAACCCGAAGCTGAAAAAAGAATTTTCCGCTGGAAGTTGTTGAATTCTTTGTTTCTGTTTCGTTTCTTGATTTGGGTTAATGGCGGAATTCGAAAACAACATGGAATTTACGGGAAAAGCTAAGTCTCGTCCATCCTCTACCTCATCTTCCTCCTTGTTCAGTCGTTCGCTTACCATTCACGCGACCTCCATTGATGGAACCCCCAAAGCCTACCCCAATCTCTCTCTCAACCGGACAACATCCATCACTAAATTCTACAATCCAATTGAATCGATGGGGAGTTCGATCAGAGGAAAGGTCAAGAACCTTTGCCGATTATTTGAATCCTCCAAATCCCCTAAATCCATTGCCAATGAATCACCGCAAACAAAGCTGAAATCCGTGAAATCCACCGTGCCTGATTTTAGGGTCTCTCCTTTTTCGAGTTTCAACTGCTCTACCATCCGGCTACCGGGCACGGAGGATCGAATTGTGGTGTATTTCACTAGTTTACGAGGAGTTAGAAGGACATACGAGGATTGCTATGCGGTACGGATGATATTCAGAGGGTTTAGGGTTTGGATTGATGAGAGGGACATTTCGATGGATTCAGCATACAGGAAGGAATTGCAGAGTGTTTTGGGGGAGAAGAATGTGAGTTTGCCTCAGGTTTTCATCAGAGGGAAGCATGTGGGTGGTGCTGATGTGATCAAAAGCATGTTTGAGATTGGGGAATTAGCCAAGATTCTTGAAGGGTTCTCTGTTAGAGAGCCAGGGTTTGTTTGCCAGGGTTGTGGGGATGTAAGGTTTGTGCCTTGTGGGAATTGTAGTGGGAGTAGGAAGGTTTTTGATGAGGATGAGAATATGCTCAAGAGGTGCCTAGAGTGTAATGAGAATGGATTGAAACGGTGCCCGGATTGCTGTTCATGAACAACCTGTTAATAAATGGTGATTTGTTCCTCACAAAGGATTTCATCAATGCATATATTCTGATGGTATGATTACATTATGAATTCAAAAGATATTTTGAATTCATAGGCTTTTTCTTTTCTTCTTTTTGTTGTTGTGGATTCATCGGTAAGGAACTGATGATGCTTGATTGTCAGAGTTGACAGGGTTATGACATTATAATAGCGTATGTGATCAAAATGCAGATTGGTTGATGCATTTTGATTGAATCTTATGTTTAAGGAGATTGGTTCTCCCTATAATTGATTGTAAATACTTAGTGTTATATGCTATAATGGATGTGTAAAAGCTTGGAAAAACAAAAAAGAAAAAAAATTTGTAATGATAATGGGTTCATTTAGTACCCTTGTCTATGTTCAATGCTTGTACTTAGATGTTCTTAAGTTTTCATATCGAACAATCTACTGCACTGGAGATATATTTCCTAATGCATTATCTTTGAAGTACCATTATTTAGGAATTGATTTTCAAATGTGTTTGTACATGAAATTCAACATAAGTTTGTTCCTTGTTGGGAATCGGAATGGTGTAGCAACCAACATATAATTGTTGTTGATGATTGATGGGGATTATCTTCGAGAACGATTGCTCTGTTCGCCTGATTACTCTCTTCTGAGTTGCTTGTTTTGGGATGCCTGTGATGTCGCCACAACTTTGGCGCATTTTTTAGGTTTTTAACTTTTAACTAATATTTGGGTCTATTGTTGTTCAATTCATAGTTAGTTTCTGTACATATCAATATTAGTTTTGATGCATACGATTTATAACATGATTTTATGAGCCACTTAACCCATCTTTAAAGTAGCTAGTATCTAGGAAGGACAATGGTTTGAAATGTGAGAACTTGGAGATGCTGCAAATTAATGGATTATTTCTGTTTTGTTCTAAATCATGTCTGTTTAATCGATTTTTTTTCGTTGTTAAAAAACTATCTATTTCGGATAGCATACCATTCTGATTAAAAAGTTAACGACTCGACCTCGAGTCTTATATTTCACTACTATTTCAATCTTTATGATTCGCCGGATACAATAGATTCTCATAATTTAGTTGTCAGCTTTCGGTGCATGAACTCCCTAAGTCTTAGCGGAATCTTTAGTAAGATTATGGCGAATCGAAGTTATAAAAATAGCTGAAAGTATTCTTCTTTTTGTTCGAAAATCTTCTATTTTTTCTGTTTTCTCTGCTGTTTAACCTTCCTTGCTTTCTTGCTTTGCTGAAACTTGACAGGGGATTTGATTGGTCATGTAGGATTTTAGCATCCATTTCCATTGAACTCCATAGTTGTTGATTGAATTTATGTTAAATGAGAAAAAGGGTAAGTTATGAAAATACATGGGTAGATTACAGGAGTTGAAAAATATGATTTATGAAAATATTCAAAATTTTTACTGTATATTTTGTAGTTAAATAAAATTATTCACAGTTGAATAAAATTTTATATATTTTTTATAATAAATATTGTTTTAACTTTAGGTGCAAAGAACTAAAAATTCTAAAAACTAATTTATTCGAAGCTTATTAACTAATACGAGGAAGAAGCTCATGTGTGCGCGCGTGTGGTACGTGTGTGCGCACATGTGTGTGGTGCACGTGCGCGCGCGTGTGTGGGTGCACGTGTGTGTTGTGCGTGTGTGCGTGCACGTGTGTGTTGTGCGTGTGTGCGTGCACGAGTGTGTAAACTTAGTCTATTGCGATTATACGAGCCTTACCTGATAGTTTCAC